GCATCGGGGGTACCCTGGCAAGTCATCTGGAGCTAAAGTGGCATGGGTCTGGAGTATTCCAGGGTGCTTTGCACCTGTGTCACATTGGTGAGACAGCTGATTAGGGGTATCTCAGTGTGTGCTGTGCTGGGGCCTCCTTGCTGAGATGGCTTGGGCTGGTGTGGGTTAGGGGCCCAGTGCTCACTGAGGCTGCAGGCTGGCTATGGTGCCAAGCACCTGCTCCTTTCTATGCTGTCAAGGAGAAGAAATGTAAACCATGGCACTTGCCATTCCTGACTTGGGCAGATTTCCAGCAGTTCCCCTGTCATTTGGTAGGGCTCTAGGGCTAGTTTCTTTATATTCTAGTTGCCCTTTTAAACCATGGCTTTTTTTTTTTTTTTTTTTTTTCTGTACCCTGGCACAGGCAAATCTGCTCTCAGCCCCTTAGTACTTTCCCTCCCCACTGAAATTCACAGCATTATCATTCTTTATGTGGTCTGTCTTTTGTTGTATAGAAGCTGTTCAATGGGGGGCGCCTGGGTGGCTCAGTTGGTTGGGCGTCCAGCTCTTGATTTCAGCTCAGGTCATGATCCTAGGGTCATGGGATTGAGCCCCATGTCAGGCTCTGCACTGAGCATGGAGCCTGCTTAAAATTCTCTCTCTCTTTCTCTCTCTCTCTCTCTCTCTCAGTAAAATTAAAAAAAAAAAAAAACTGTTTGGGCATCCCTCAGTTACTCAGGAGGAGTTGGTTTATGAATAGGTGTAGATTTCATGTGTTTTTGGAGGAGAGGAGTTCCAGATCTTCCTATATCTTTATCTTGGACCCTCCCTGGCAACATTTGATCTTTGTCTTAGTTGTGAAACACCCTAAAGGTCTCTCCTTGCATTACAGGTATTTTGCAATTCTGATGAAGTCTCACAATTAGTACAAGTTGTTAAAATTCTATACCTTTTTTGAAAGTAGGAGACTATTATCTCTTACACTTCTGAGAGGCTGTGCAAGTTGTTTATAGGACTTATTTGTAAATAGAATCTTATTTTTCCACTGTCCTCTTAATTTGGAGATTTGTGCTCACAGAAAAAAACTTGGACTTGAAAACCGCTTGTGAGAAATGAGTCACCTCAAGTGACACCTACTTTTATGTAGTCTGTGAATTCAGTTCTTTTTTTATAAATCTTGAAGGGAAAAGAACCAGTACTTGGTTATACTCTACATTCACTTTATGAATTTTAAAGGTAATCTTAAATGGAAATATACCACATCAAGAAGTATCATTTCCTTGGAGATTCACTCTGAATGTGTAAGCTTCTGCAATGACTTTACTCTTAATCCAAAGTTTGAGAAGCATTTCTTAGTTAGCAAAGGTAGTAAAAGTGTTTTTTACAGATTAGTTTCAAGTAATGCATGTAAGAACCATAAAACAATTCCTTATTTTAAGACATGTGGATTTGGTAGCTTATTAATTTATACAGAAAGCATTTATTGAGACTTCTATGCAAGGCACTGTGTGAGATTCTGTGGAAGGTTCAGAAGATGACAGAGATGAAATAACTGATTCTTTGGAGTTTAATATTTAGCAGGCAAGCAGAAGACAAGAACGTTTCTGGTCTCTGGTTCCAGGTTGTAATAAATAAGTGCTTGGAGGTATCTCAGCTTGTGCTGTGGTGGTTCAAAGGGGAGAGAGAGGAGAGTGCACCAAGAAAGGCTTCAGTGGGGGTGTTTCCTAAAGACTTGGTATGGTTTGAATGGTATGGAAGTCATGGGAGGCATTTCAAATGAGGAAACAACCCAAGCAGATGTGGAAAAGTGTGTGGCAATCATGTTTCATCAACGACACTTTTCACATACCTTCCCTACTAGCCCTTCACCCATGATGTTGTATAATAGTGTGCTTAAATGTATGTCTCTGCCACCAGTCATTAATTCAGCATATACTTATCAATTATCAGCATCTGCTATGTACTGTCCTAGGAGTGAAGATATAGTAGGAAACAGTTAAAAATCCCTGCCCTGGTGTAACTTACATTCTCCTGGGGGCTGAGGAGAATTGGGGAGGTGGACAATATAAATACAGTAAGTAAAGTAAATAATACATTAGAGTACAGAGTATGAAATAAACTAAATTAAGGTAAGGGAGATGAAGAATGCTAAGGGACAAAATTTTAACTGGGTTAGAGCAGGCCTCACTGCAAAAAAGAAGGCATTTGAGAAAAAGCTTAAACTATGGGAATAACTAGGGAAAGAACATTACAGGCCAAAAGAACACCTACAAAGGCCATCAAGTGGGAGTATGCCATGTCAAGAATCACCTATAAAGAGACAAGTTGAGAGGCTGTTGTGATAACATAGGAGAAAATGAAGATGACTTAAGAATTGGAATGTCAGTGATGGAAGGGTAAGAAATTATCATATCCTGTTTATATTCTGAAAATAGAAACAACATAGCCACTAAGAGGCGATGTGGGGTTGGGAAGAAAAATGAGTCTACATTTTTCTACATTTTTATCCTAAATTTACATTCTAAATTTTCTACATTTCTGCCCAGCACATGGGCAGCTTGGGTCCAGAAGAGCTGGAAGGATGGACAGAGTGGTCATTAACTGAGATAGTGAAATATAGTGGGCAAAGCCGGTGGGGAAGGGAAGAAACTTAAAGCTCATAGACTAACCTCTAGATGAGAAGGAAAGTGTTTCACAAACCTTTACCAAAAGTCCTTGAAAACAGCATATACCAGAATAGATACTAGTTCGAATAACAATTTCCCCAGTTTTACCCTCAAATAGGGGACCACATTTTTTTTAGTAAAAGTGGATTGTATAACAATCCTTTCTCCCATGGCTCCTCCTTGGTTTTTATAATCCATAGTGTCCATACCCGATAGCTGTATCCTACACTGTGACTCTCATGTTTGTTCTCCCCCCATATTAACACACCTTTCAGTTCCGGGGTCTTCTACCATCCTGTGAAATCATCAGGCTGCTTTTTCTCCTTTTCTCTAATGCCATTCTTTCATGCTGTGATACTGTGATTTATAATAAGAAATATATATTTGGTCTTTGTCCCTTTCCTGGAATATATTTCCAAAAGTCCGTGGAATTTCCTAAGTGATAAAGGTGTCTTTTGTTTTTCATAACAAGCCCCTTTCAACCACATGGGAGTCTATGCTAATGAGGTAATTCTTGGAAAGACCCTAAAATGGGAGTTTATTGCCAGGAGAACAAACATGATTACTTCCAACCAAGGTTGGAACTTGCAGTCACACCTCCACTACCCCTGGGGAAGAAAGAGGGCCAGTATCTCCAGGTGGATAGTGTCAGAATTGGGTTAAATTCTAGGACACTCAGCCGGTGTCCCAGAATTGCTGAGGTGTGGAAAACCCTCACATCTGGTGTCACAGGGTTGTAGGAGAGTATTGGGAGTAGAGGAGGCACACAGGAGGAGGTGTTTTTTCCTTTATAACTGTTAAAATTACACTTCTGGGAAATGACTTAAGACCATTCCATTACTGCTTTGGGAGTCAAAAGTTCCCACCTTTTGCTCAGCTGGTAACCGTTCCTTTTGGGCTAAAACTCTCACACTGCCACTTTTGACTAATACCACTGCTTGTCACACACAGTCCATGCTACTTCCCCAAGGTTCTGGGTGTTCGTGCTGCTCAGTTTGCAGAACCCATCCTGTGCCAAAGACTCTGGTGCTCAGTCGGTTGCTTTTGTTACAATTTAGAGACTTTGGAGGTCTTCATCACTTTTTTTTTTCTATAATTACTTCTGCTGGACTTATGTTCTCTGCTAAACCTCCTGTTTTTGTTTTTTACAAAGTCATGTGAACCGTGGTTAAATCTGATCTACTTATTTGCAGAGAGATGAGGCCTGGACTCAGTATTTTGGTTCTAAAAAGCTCTCAGCCAAGCCCTGAGAGGATGAAGATACGCCATCTTTGCACTCCACCAATAAAGTAGCATTGCTCCCTCGCTAGACTGGTCTCTTATTGTGGACTAGCTAGAATAGACTACAGGAGATATTTCATTTATACGTGAACCTGGGATGAAGCACATGAGGAACTCCAGCAAGGCATAGGGTGGAATTTGTCTTGTCGTCCCCTTAGCTGAGTGGCATCCACCTGTGCCTATGTGGTAAAGGCCTTTTCTCCAAGGTCAGATGCCCTGAGAGGCCCTCTTTGTTGACTTCATGGAATTCAGGGACCCAAATACAAATGAGCCTAGTTACAATATGTTTATATTTTATTTTTTATTTTATTTTTTAAATATTTTTATTTATTTCTAGGAGAGAGAGAGTGTGAGCAGGGGAGGGTCAGAGAGAGAGGGAGTCACAGACTGAAACAGGCTCCAGGCTCCGAGCTGGCAGTCAGCACAGAGCCCGACGCGGGGCTCGAACCCACGAACCGCAAGATCATGACCAAGCCCGACGCGGGGCTCGAACCCACGAACCGCGAGATCATGACCGAAGTGAAAGTCGGATGCTTAACCGACTAAGCCACCCAGGCACCCCAATATGTTTATATTTTAAAGTTATCTCTCAAGTAACCCCATCCCCTATCTAAGCCTGGAGTAATAAATAATATGTAGATGGTATCACCTCCTCATTTATCTTGGAAATAAAAAGATTCATGGTTAGAATGAATCTTAAAAGAACATGTAAATCAAATATCATATTTTATGTGGCAACCCTGAAGCCCAAAAAGGTTAAGCATTCTGCCCAGGGTCCTACATTTGTTTAAAGACAAAGCTTAAACTAGCATGCAGTCTCTAGGAGCCCAGTACTCTTTTCATTACACCATTTATAAGATTATGTCTCCAGGTACTGACTGGGTAATGAACTCATAGTATTTGATATGCCTTGTACAGAGAAGGCGTTCAAAACATTGTCAGTTGAGCACTAAATCCTTCCATTTTCAGGGAAGTAACAGATGCTGGGAGAACTGGACTTAGCACATGGTTATTTCCATGGTTATATTGCTCCATACATTTTGCCATTTAAATGCTGTTTTTCTTTTCTTAAAGATCTTCAGTTTAGATCTTGGAGGAATATCAACTGTGGTTTTAAATGGCTATGATGTAATAAAAGAATGTCTTGTTCATCAAAGTGAGATTTTTGCAGACAGACCATGTCTTCCTTTATTCATGAAGATGACAAAAATGGGAGGTATGTTTATTTTCACCTATTGAGTGGTTTACTGTTTTAAATTACATTCCTTATTCTGTGTAAACTTAGTACATAGAGTTTGGATTCTGTTGTACTGAAAAACAGGAAATTATTAATTTAGGTTACAGAACCCAGTATTTGAAGATCTTTCAGGTCTTACACCCATGTTTTAGACCAATCCATGCTAATCCTATTGTTGTAATCTAGTCTGTAATATTATAAATGTTTTAAAGAATTAACATTTAATAATATCTGCAAGTTTTGTGAAACAAATTAGGAATACACACATGTGCATGCACACTTGAATCAAAAGTGTTTTTTTAAGCCAGTCTTGAGTACTTGATGACATTTTTACTATCATTTTGCTTATAGGATATGAAGCAGCCTTTCTTAACTACTCACCAGTATGACATGTAAATGAATAATTGTGGGATTTGTATAAAGGACTAGCTTCTGTTTAGTGTTGATCAGTGTTGGGTGATTCCACATTCAACAAGAGAGAAAGGCTGAAAGTTACTAGATTAATGAACAGAAAGCCTAAACTAGAATGTCGAAGTCAGATGCAGTGGTTTTAATATTTAATGGTATAAGAGTTATACAATAATGGTGTCTAAGGTTCTCCAGTTTAATGAGACTTCACACTTAATTTCAAAGAAAAATGTAACAATATTTTGCTCACATAGACTAAAAATAAAGACACTGAAAAGAAAATAAAAATTAACCATATATTAAGTCACAAAGCAAATCAACTAATGCAAAGAAAATACCAGTTGCAAAGGACAAATTCTCAGGCCAGAGTATAATGATACTTGAATAAAATGAATAAAACACAAATTTCCAGCCTCTTAAATACTCTTCTCAATAATAATTAGGCCAAATAAGAAATTAAACCACAATTATAATAAAAGACCTTTAAAGAAATTGTGAAAAAAATGAAAGATGAGATTATCGGAGTAATATTTGGGATAAAGTATAATACTATATATTTTTCAAAGCTATAGATTTATAGTTTGGACTGTTTTTATTATAAAGAAAGATAAACATTCAACTTGATATTTCCAAAAAACAGTAAGACAAATATAAGTAGAAAATTATGTGTTATTTTAAGATACAAATGCACTGAATTTGAAACTGCGAAATCAGAGCCACCATTAGTCCAATCTTTGGGTAAAAGTTGCCTGTAGGTGGGCTTAGCCCACGCTTGGCCTGTGAAGAGTTATGACAAGACTCCTCAAAACCTTGCACATGTTTCCCATATGCATATATCCTCTAGGGCTTGCTCTCATCCCAGTGCCTTTGCACCAACTGTTACCTCTAGAGCAGTGATCTTTCCCTGGATATCTGCTTGACTCACTCTCTTATGTCTGATATGTTTACTTATGTCACTTTCTCAGTGAGCCTTTCCGTGACCACCCTGTGTCTCCTTCCTTGCTATATAATTTGTTTGTTTGCCTCTCCTCACTAGTATGTAAGGTCCAGGAGAGTAGAGATCTCTGCCTCTTCCATTTACGAATATGCCTGTGACTCAGCACACTGCTTCGAACACAGTAGGTCTCCATAAGTACATGTTGAATGAGTATTTGTTGAGTGAATAGTCATCTGGGAATATAGAAAAAACAATGAACTATGGGAACGTAAGATGGCTGCACAGCCCTTCAGACCCCCTTATGTATGGTTAATTCTATCATAAGCTCCAAATTCAAAAACTTGAAATGAAATATAAATTTCATGGGTACCTCATATACACAAGATAATGCGACATTTTTGTCTTAGGTACATATATGTACCAGTTATGAATGAAATTTTGAGTAAAGCACATGTTACGTAAATATATATGCTAAAGATGTTGTTACTTTCTTGACAGGTAATTTTTTTTAGTTTTTGCAAATCATCTTTTAAGTTCAAGTATAATTAACTACAGTTATAACTACAGTGTTATAAGTTTCAGGTGTACAATATAGTGATTCACTAATTCTATACATTACTCAGTGCTCATCATGATAAGTGTACTTTTAATCCTCTTCACCTGTTTCACCCATCCCCCCAAACTACCTCCACTCTGGCATCAACCAGTTCTCTATATTTTATAGTCTGCTTTATTGTTTGTCTCTTTTTTCTTTGTTTTGTTTCTTAAATTCTGCATATGAGTGAAATCATATTTATCTTTCTCAGATGGACTTATTTTACTTAGCATAATGCCCTCTAGGTCCATCCATGTTGTTGCAAATGGCAAGATTTCATTCATTTTTTTAGGGCTGGTTATACTCCATTGTATATATATACCATATCTTCTTTATCCATTCATCCATCAATGGACACTTGGGTTGCTTCCATATCTTGACTATTGTAAATACTACAGTAAATGTAGAGGTGCATCTTGATAGTTAATTTAAAAGGACTATGTTCCATAGTAGTGACATCAGAAGAGCAGAGTATACTGTGGAGACTGAAATCTTAAGGCAAGGAATATCAACATTGGAAGTTTGGGTTTCATGTTTGCCCTCTGTCCCTCTGTCTTCATCTGGGCTGCTTTAATAAAAATACTTAGTATCATAAACAACAAACATTTATTCTCACAGGTCTGGAATCTGGGAAATCCAAGATCAAGGTGCCAGGAGACTGGGAAAAGTCTGCTTCCTGGCTTGTAGACAGATGCCTTCTCCCTGTATCCTTGCATAGCTGAGAACAGTCATCTCTTCTTGTTTCTTGTAAGGGCACTAATCCAGTTTGAGAGGCTCCACCCTCATGACCTAATCACCTTCTGAAAAGCCCAACCTCCTAATACCATCATATTGGGGGTTAGGCTTAAACATAAGGATTTGGGGAGGACACAAACATTCAGTCCTTGGTATCCTCCTTTAGGCTTGAGTATTTCCACCCCATTGACATCTCATTCAGCTTTCCTTGGCCTCTTCTAGAATTACCTTGTGTAACGTACACGTTTAACAGGAGGAAGTCTGTATTCTAAAATCTAGTCTCTTAATGCAGAAAATTTCTAATCCTTGAAGGATGATTTTCAGCTGTTTGTTTAGTCCAAGGTTAAATTCTGCCCATGGAACATGCAGTCATTTGTCATTTATAAATGACAAATACAGTTTTAGTTTAGACTAATTATTTAGTTTTAGACAAATACAGTTTTGTATATAGTTAGAGAATAAAGTCACCAGGTCTAGTTCACCCAGGATGAAATACCTAAGACGGTCCAGTTTAATGTGGTGGGAGAATTACAGGTCTTTTCTGCCTGTCCCTAGATAAAAAGTAGACGAGCTTTATCTGTTGACAATATTCTGTGGCTAATGAGTAGCAGAAAACAGGCTTAAAACCACTAGGTCTAGTTTTATTTTTATAGAAAGAACTTTGAGAAGAATGACCACCCTTTTTCACTCCATAACATTTTTAGCTATTAGATACAGGAATGTTGGAATGATCAAATTTTTTAATACTTTTGTTTTTTCAGGCTTACTCAATTCCAGATATGGTCGAGGATGGATTGATCACAGAAGATTAGCCGTAAATAGCTTTCGCTATTTTGGATATGGCCAAAAGTCTTTTGAATCTAAAATTTTAGAAGAAACCAAATTTTTTATTGATGTTATTGAAACATACAAAGGTAGACCTTTTGACTTGAAACAATTAATAACAAATGCTGTTTCAAACATAACCAATCTGATCATTTTTGGAGAGCGATTCACTTATGAAGACACTGATTTTCAGCACATGATTGAGTTATTTAGTGAAAATGTGGAACTAGCTGCCAGTGCTTCCGTCTTCTTGTATAATGCCTTTCCATGGATTGGCATCTTACCTTTTGGAAAACATCAACAGCTATTTAGAAATGCAGCTGTGGTCTATGATTTTCTCTCCAGGCTTATTGAAAAAGCTTCCATCAACAGAAAACCGCAGTTACCTCAGCATTTCGTTGATGCTTATTTAGATGAGATGGAGCAAGGTAAAAATGACCTGTCATCTACTTTCTCCAAAGAAAATCTTATTTTTTCTGTGGGTGAACTCATCATTGCTGGAACTGAAACTACCACCAATGTGCTACGGTGGGCAGTTCTTTTCATGGCCCTTTATCCTAACATTCAAGGTGAGGATTTTGTTGATCTCAGGGTTGTCCTTACATTTAAGGCTCACACATGTTTTAGAGTCTTTGGCTATATACAGAGCATTTTATTTGGGGATTTCTACTGTACTAGCCAAGAAGAAAAATATCTAATAGTTACAAAGAGTTTCATACATCTGTTACCCCAGTCATGTAAAAACATCAGAAATAGGTCTTATTAGTCCTGTTTTATAAATGAGGGAGAAGTCTAAATGGCTGCCTTGCCCAAGCTCAGCTACTAGAAGTGGCAGAGCTGGGACCTGAACACTGGTTTTTTAAAGTCAAGTTTTATGTTTCACTATTTCCCTTGCTGACAGTGATGTTATTCCAATTGTAGGGTTGTTTAATTTTTTATCTTTAATTACTTTTAATTGTTAATTTTTATTTTTATTACTTTTAGTGTGTTTTTCACAACAAAGTTACTCAGACCGTTGATTTCTGGTAGCACATGATATATGGCATATATTCATACAGAACTCCTAGATGATGAAAAATCTGAATCTGGTTGTACCCATACCCTGTTGACTTATTATAGATTATGCTTTTTTTTGTTGTTCCAAAGGGAAATTACTTTGGATATAATTCTAAGAATTGCATAATAACTTGAACACTTTTTCTCTGACAGGACAAGTTCAGAAAGAGATTGATTTAATTATGGGACCCACTGGGAAGCCTTCTTGGGATGACAAATGCAAAATGCCTTATACTGAGGCAGTTTTGCATGAAGTTTTAAGATTCTGTAATATAGTGCCATTAGGGATTTTCCACGCAACCTCTGAAGACACAGTTGTACGTGGTTATTCCATTCCTAAAGGCACGACAGTAATTACCAATCTTTATTCTGTACACTTTGATGAAAAGTACTGGAGAAACCCAGAAATATTCTATCCTGAGCGTTTTCTGGACAGCAGTGGATATTTTGCCAAGAAGGAAGCTTTGGTTCCTTTTTCCCTAGGTAAGAGAACTTTCACAGGGGCATAACTTCAGGACAGAGTATAATGGTGGTTGCTCATGTATGACCTCCTAATCTGAAGCATTCTGTTGTAGAATTAGAGATTCTAACTCTGGAAACAAAGCACTGATTCTTAAAGGAGAGAATAGTTTAATTAGAACTCATTTACACCTGTTTCTACTCAACACTTAATTTTGTAACTAGAAAAACTGTTGAGAAGCTCTGGCTTCTTCTGAAACTTTTTTGCTTGTGGATTTTGGCTTGTAAGCAAAACTTATAGAGCTAGAAGTCCATAACTTCTAGCTAGAAGTCAAGGTAGCTTGAGAAACTGAGACCCAGGGGAAGAAATGACACCATCATTTGAAGTGAAACTAAAACACAGCTCTCTTAGCTTCAAGTTTATTGTACCTCATCTCCAAAAATACGGCTTCGCCTGTGAAAAAATACACAGATCACAAGATCCATGGAAGATGGACTGAAAATTCTTCCTTTCATTGGGGAAGGGTTCACATTTAGTCATTTGAAGTGAAATGAGCTTCTCCTTGGATCTAGAGAACAAAATGTCTACCTCAAATTTATCTTCCATGGCATATCTTGGGCTGTGTTACATAAGCTTACAGAAGTCATGATCTGACAAAAGAAGGTAAAGAAATGGGCTCTGAGAGGTGAACTACCAATTTTTATTCTTTTCAATAAACATAACTTTCTTTAAATTCCAGATTTCCTGAATGGGACCCATATATTAGATACAAATTTTGGTAAATATTGTGAGTTTTTTTAATGTTTATTTAATTTTGAGAGAGAGCAAGAGAGAGACAGAATGTGAGCAGGGGAGGGTCAGAGAGAGAGGGAGACCCAGAATGTGAAGCAGGCTTCAGGCTCTGGGCTGTCAGCACAGAGCCCAGCGTGGGGCTCAAACTCACTGAGCCAAAGTCGGAAGCTTAACTGACCAAGCCACCCAGGCACCTCAGTTGTGGATTTTTTTAAAAAATATGTTTTGTCTTCTTTTGTTTTTAGGGAGAAGACACTGTCTTGGAGAACAGCTGGCTCGGATGGAAATGTTCCTGTTTTTTACAACATTGCTTCAGAGGTTTCACCTGCATTTTCCACATGAACTGGTTCCAGATCTGAAGCCCAGATTAGGCATGACATTGCAACCCCAGCCCTACCTCATCTGTGCAGAAAGGCGCTGAAAGTGCATGGATGTTTCCTAGGAAAAGGCTATCTGGTTGCCTTTTACCTCTGAATCTTGTTTACCTAATCAGTGTGTGCGTTTGGACAAAAATCACAGCATCGTAAAACCAAATGAATACAGGTGTGTCTTTGAAAAGAGCACTAAAGCAATAATAAGCATTAGCCTTTTTTTTAAGTTTTTATGACTTACAAGGTGGAATTATCTGTGGAGGAAAACAAAGATGCCAATGACAGATGTTGCTTAAGTAAGAAGGGCCATGGATGCCCTAAGCAGAGCCTGACCTTTCAGCATCTTGGTGAACACCACGTACTTCTTATCCTTTCTTGACTCCATCTTGCTCTGGTCCTGAGGTCTCCAAATGCCAATACCAGCCCCCTTCTATCAGGTATTGTCATTAATGGGTAGTGTGGTATGTGTCCAATTAAATAGAGGATTAAAGAAATTAGAACCCAAATAAAGGAGTTTGGAGTACAGAGATATTTTAGACATGGTGGCAGATAATAGAAGAAATATCTATATATTTTAGAACCTGCCAGTACTTTCAAATCTTGTTCCCTACTATACCTTCATAAGAATTGTATCATCTCGTTATAAATGAGGGCCCCTGTGACTCCTGAGTATTCATCCCTGTAGCAGCAGTTCCGTAGAAGGAAATTACAATAATGTAATTACAATAAGAATGACCCCCAAAAAAGTGATTATTAATTCTTTACAGGCACAGACATTTTTCCTAGTACCATTTTTTTTCCTCATTCAGGCACAGGTCCTAAAGATTGAATCATTTTACTTTTGGAGGTCTCTAGTCATTTCTTTGGATTATTGTTATTTTTCTAAAGATAATACTATACAAATCCAAAAAGAACATGCTTTAGAGCCAGGGTAAATGTATATACATTGGGACATTTCAGAGTGATGGGCTTCCGTTACTAATGATGCCAGGAAAATGTATGAACTGTTACTGTCCTGATCAAACTGCTCTGTATATCCACCCATATATAGATTTTAACATGCTTTCTTCCAAGGTTGTACATCAAGGGTGTCTGCTCGTATAACTTGGTTCATGGGTACTTGCAGCCTTGGAGTAAATGTATACAACAATGACTTATGTTAAGAATATGAATTTAGGGGTACCTCAGTGGCTCAGTTGGTTAAGCATCTGACTCCTGATCTCAGCTCAGGTCTTGATCACACAGTTGCTCTGTGCTGGGTGTGGAGCCTACTTAAAAAAAAAAAAAAAAAGTATGAATTTAACCTTAATGACTTCATCTGTTGAATATTTTCAAGTGTTATGAATCAGGAGTCTTTGCCTCTCTGATGTCTTAAGATGTTTCTGTTTGCAAGAGGGAAAAGATCCTGGGTAGATATATCTAAATGGGACATTTGTAGGTAGTGTGGGAGTTTTAGGGTGGGTATGACCTACATGCTGCATGCTACAATCAAAGATCTTTTTCACATCCCTCAATTATGCTTCCTAGATGGCATCAGCTTTATCTTAAGGCAGACTCATGGAAGTACATGTGCTTTGCTCTCCTCCCTGTAGAGACACGGGAGCTTTTCAGATATTCCCCTAGAGCTGTTCTTTGTGTCCCATTGGTCCTAAGTTACATGCCCATCTTTTAAGACAATGTCTTTTGAGTGGTATTATGGTTCACGTAGACCTGACTACGAGAGCCCATGATGGAGTTGGCTTCTCCCAAAGTACATGTGCTGCATTGGGGTAGTAGAGTTCCCTAAACAAAAATAAGTAGACTTATGAAGAGAAGAAGAACTCCTGACTAGCAGACTAATTACAATGGCTACTTCACTGCCCCTTGACAACTTGCTAGGCCCAGAAGCTATCTGACCTGCCTCCCTGCCTCTAGACAAATATGTTCATTCAAGTTGCTTTTTGATCTTTGCTCATCCTTTGACAAGCAAATCTCTCATCCCTGGGCCTCCTACTGACTGTCATATCTCCTATGAATGCCTAAGTTGAACTTTTCAGACTGGAGATTCTGGAGGCTTGGTGGCCTTAGCAAAGAAATTTACTGAACTGAAATAGATTATAATCAAAATTAGGGAGGCTTTGTTTTTGCTCTTGAATGCTACCACTATTTCTTCTAGGATGAGCTTCATAAACCTACAGAGAATGAAGAACATACTATTTATTTTCTTTACCTTGTACTCATTTCTTATATTTTTTTCTTACTGAGGTCAGTGTGACAAAAATCATTTAAAAATATAGATTCATAACTTGTTACAGGTAAAAGAGCTTTCATCTCAGTGTGCTCATTTTATAGCCAAAGAAATAGGAGTTCAGAAGGAAAATGATTCCTGTAGTTTATATCAGATGCATTTCCTTCATCCCATATCCTTTTTACTCCTAATGATTCATACTATGCTTTACAGTTTATAAGGTTGTTTTTCATTATACTGTCAACTCTTGACTATTTGGAGCTATTTAACTGTGGTAAAAAATAAAATGCTGTCTCTTTTGAAAAATATAAAGTAACATGAATTAGTAATCCATAATGGAAAATATTTATTTTGGGAAACTATGTAGTAATAGACTCTGGATCTACTGCAGTGGAAATGCTTTCTCTTATCAGTCAATGGTGAGCTCCTACCTAGAATGTTGGAAATCTAACTTCTGATTCAAAATAGCAACTGAGCATACTTTTCAAATGCCATTGAAATAACTCGAAGGATAAAAAGAGGGATAAAGGCATTGAGAATGGGAATGGAGGACCATATTAGTGAATTATATACTTGGAAGTTCTAAAAGAGGAAGGCAAGTGGAGTAATACTGAAGGAACTACAGACAAGACCGTGCATAGTCAAAGGCTGAGGTAGGAGGTAGGAGCTCATTCTTTGAAGGACAGCTAAGAAGAGGAACGATGAGGACAACAAGAGTGGAAAGAATTCAGGCTTCTGCCCTGTCCTCATTCTACTTTCTCCCTGTTGGTGCAGCTGTAGAACTTGTCCCCAGTGCAGAAAGAAAAGTCTAAACAAATGGAGTACTGTGCCCAGGAGATGATGGTGTTCCTACACAGGGATTGTTGCCCTCGATTGGCAGCCCCCTAGTTTGGTGATTTCGAACCTAAAGTTCTACATCAACTAAAACTATTAATCAGGTGTGAGGGCAAGTTTCAGTCAACCAAGTAGTTAGGGGGAAATGTCAGCAAAAGGGCTAGCATTACAAAGGTGAGATAAGTGTGACAGAGTAATACCTAAACGTTTTATACTCTGACAGTGTAGATATAATGCATCTAACAAAAATAAAAGGAGAAAAGGTAGAATGTCGAATAAACTCCCTGATTGCCTCATGTATAAAAAGAATCAAAAGACATAATCTAAAACTGACAAGTCAAGTAGTAGAATTTTAAGTATATCTAAGAGTACAAAAGTAAAGGATAGCAATATTGCCTAATATTGGGCAGTAGAAGATACGGAGGAAGAAGAGATATAAGCTAATGTACATAAAGGAGAAGCAGATACTGTCCAAAGAAATAAGATGCAAAGATCGTTTATAAAGGTAGAAGTATAAAGAAAACCACTAAATCAAAAATACAAACCTTTCTAAATGTCAGAACTAAAATTAATTTTTTAGTAAAGGGCAAATAATATGAGAGAACTAAACTAAGTCTCTACATAGTCACATTGAGGAAATGTAAAGAGGCTTATCTCACCTATTAAAATAAAAGTGTTCAAATTGGATCATAGAAAAAATGTAATGCTATATTATATAGACAGGAGACATCTAAAACAGATTAAAGGTCAAAAATAAAAGGATGGGCAAAGCATACCAGGCAAATGCAAATAAAAAGAAAGGACTTGTGATGTTAATGAAACAAGGTAGAATTCAAGGCAAAAAACATAAGCAAGACACTTTATAATCCTAAAGACTCTAATTCTTAAGAAGTTATGATAGTTACAAATAACTATTGCAACTAATAACAGCATCTTTCATAAAGCAAAAACAACAAGAGATACATTCAGAAATATATAGAAGTACCTTAGTACCAGGAGACAAATTAATTCACTTCTCTGAGCCTAAGACAAATCAAGTGGACCAAAAAAGCCAAAACAACAACAAAACAAAACAAATGAAGATAACGAAAACCCATACTACATGATCAGTAAGGTAGATCTGAAAACTATACATCAAATTCTGTACCTGATAATAGAATATGCCATTTTCACAAATGCCATCTAATATTCATGAAAATTGACCTTATCAGTGGATGAAAAGTGAACTTTGATAAATTCCAGAAGTATAAATAATAGTTTCATTCTCTGAAAATAATACAGTAAGAATGGATATTAATAACAAAATAATGGAAACAGAAAAAGAAATTGCCATTATATTGGGCCATTTTGTTTAAAAAAATCATAAACTTTGGGTAAAGGGGAAATACAAACCAAAATTGCAGAATTTCTAGAAAACGATATAAACTCTGAATGTTAAAATCTATGAAATCTAGCTAAAGTAGTCTTCAGAAGAAAAGTCATGAGCCCCAAATACTTCAATGAAAATGAAATGTTGAAAATGAATTAAACATAAGATTTTGTTTTTAATTTGAAAAATAACAAACCAAAGGAAAGGATAAAAAAAGAATTATAAATCCCTGACGGGCAGGAATTAAAGAGTTAGATAATAGAGAAAGAGAACTTATAATAAGTTGTATTTTTTTAAATCCATACATTAGATCAAGAGTTAGCAAATTATACCTACAATCAAATTGTGGCCCACCATCTGTTTTGTATGGTCTACAAGCTAAGAATGGGTTTTACATTTTTAAATGGTTGAAAAAAATACTTTGTGACACATGAAAATTTTCTGAATTTCAAATTGAGTGTTCATAGTTACACTGGAGTACAGAAACACTCATTTAAAAAAATACATTGCCTTCAGCTGCATTTTGTGCAAAGATGGAAGAGTTGAGTAGTAGTAACGGTAATTGTGTCACTCTCATGTCTTACCACTTTGCGTGCCGCCCGACACTCTGCAAACCAGTGAT